TGCCGCCCGCGTCCCCCGCCACCTACCCCCGGTTTCCCGTTTGCCATTGGGCAATGGGAGCCTGCGGGCCAGGGAAAGGGACCGAGAGGTGGTCAGTGTGCCTCATAGTAACTGGTCGAGCGGTTGTTCTGGTCGTTCTGCTGTTAGGGTCAATTTGCATATTACCCTTTTATTATATAGAATAGCTTATCACAGTCTACTGGTCAAGTCCACTTTGCCCCCCCTCCCATTTCTAGTATAATTGTTTTTTATATTTTCTCTTCATACAATGAGAACCATATTACACAGTGTTATACTTTTTGCTTTAACCTCAAAGATATTATAGAAGACTTAAGAGGAGAAGGAAGGTCTATTGTATTTATCCATGTTCTTATTCTTTCCATTCTTCCTTTCTGATTTTCCAGTATTCCTTCTTTTATCATTTCTTTTATGTTTGAAGAACTTCCATTAATCATTCTTTGAGGGTAGGTCTACTGGTGGCAAGTTCTTAGTTTTCCTTCATCTGCGAATGTTTTCATTTCCCTCTGTCCTGAAGGATATTTTATCTGGATATAGGATTCTGGGTTGGCAGTTCTTTTCTTTCAGCACTTGAAAAAATGCTTCTGGATATCAAAAATATGAATATAAATAGAAATTTAAAGTTTTCATTAACTGTGAACATAATGGTCTAAATGTTAAAACATTTTCTTCTAAATTATAATTACTATGAGTACATCATAAATATTGGTTTGTTTTATTATAAACAGTTACTAAACATAAATACATCTTTTCAGAAGGGACTGCTTTTTCCATAGAATTTATGTATCCATGAATGAGTATTACACATGTTAGAATGAGACTGGTTCCAATGGAAATTAAAAATAAAAAGAGATGTTTGGCCATTAGTAAGTGTGAGGTTTACAAAAGATTTGTTGATAATTTTTTAAGTATATCATTTACAATAAAAGTTACAGTATATTCCTTCCAAATTATATCTAACTAGAGTCCTGGTGCACAAAATTCTTGCACAGATAGGGTCCCTAGGCCTGGCCGGCAATCAGGGCCGATTGGGGCCTTTCCGCTGCCTGCCGGGGCCTTCCTTCTGGCTGCCAGCCGGGGCCTTCCTTCGTGCCGCACTGCCCCCTGGTGGTCAGTGCACATCATAGTGAGCGATTGGTCTCCCGTTCAAACTCCTGCAGGGACAATTTGCATATTAGGCTTTTATAGATAGATAGATAGATAGATCCGTCCATGTATGAATGAAAAACTGAGCAGAGTAATAATTGTCCAGGCAAAAAAACACATGGATTTACTGTGCCCAGTATTCTTTTGGCAAAAGTTAATAAAAATGTTTCTCAATAAATGTTCAAGAGAATGTAAAACAATTAACTTTGGTGTATATTACTTTTGCTTGAAGATAGGCCTCTTTTCAACTCCTTGAAATCACGCAAAGTGATTGGTATAATGTACTAACTTCTTTCTCATTTCTCTGATAATGGGTAAAGTGCAGATCTTGAGTTCTAATTCAAGATGCTTCCCAGGTATTGAATTCTAAATAACTCTAGATAACTCATGTAAGATGTCTGGCCATAAGCTTTTTAATTGGGTGAACTAAGTTGTAGCTGTCTTCAATATTTATCATCACTGTTTTTATTAGATATTCTCTCAGGTCAGTCTTTTTTTTAATCTTTAAATTCTTTATTAGTTAAGGAATCAGGTCAGTTTCTTAATCAAAAATTTGTATTGGGGACAAAATATGTCATTTTTAATATCAGGAATTGCCTTTAACAAAAATGTATGGGACAAGGAAAGATAGGACCACCTTGGCGATTCCATTAAAGGTTACCCTCCTTCCACAAATCAATATTTCAAATGATTTCTTTGGTCTTTTGGATGTTTCTGCATCTCAGGGAAGTGCATTATAGTGAGATTTTTAGATGTGTGAGCGTTATATTTTTATCTTGTGAACGGGAAGATGATTATAAAATAAAGTGTAGAAAAGGAGAGACCAGTGTGATGCTCTGACCTTGATATTAATTCTAGTAACTGGTTGGTAACTATGGAAATCAAAGATCTGAAAATTGATCCCCTTAAAACCATCTGGTCCCAGGTAAAGACTGCTAAAGATCTGAAAATTGATCCCCTTAAAACCATCTGGTCCCAGGTAAAGACTGCTGGATTAAGGTTTAATCTTTCATCATTACATTATAGTCTTGAATCTTCTGCTGTGGAAAATTCATCTGCTTTTTATTTTCATAACTGTTTAATTCTTTTAAGGACCTTCATTATAGTGCATTGATTACTGCAATTTCTCTGTGTTCTTTGAGCAAGGATTCTTTTCCATTTTTCCTTAGTATGTTCCTCACTGGAGCAGTTTTTTATTCTTCCTCTTTGTTCAACTTTAACAGGTGATTTTTTAATTTATTCCCAGTCCACTCCCTTCAGGTTTTGATTTTTGTTGTTGTTATGCATCAGATTTTATCTGTTTTTTTTTTGTTGTTGTTGTTCTTCATTCATTAAAAAAACAGGGTATGTTGTAAATATATAATTGCCACAGGGTATCAATCTTCATTATATTTCAGCGACTAAAACTCCACGAGGGCAGGAATTTGGTGTTTCCCTCACCATTGGGTGTGTAGAAACTATCATAGTGAGTTATTGAAGGAGCAAGGAGCAGACTTTCTCCATCTCTCTTCTTAATAGAAGCTCTGGTTAAAAAAGAAATAACCAAACTAGTAAGTTGTAAAGTCTTTTATTTTTATTAATTGATAGTTATAATAGTATTTTTCTAATAGCAAATTAAAATGCTTTTATATTGTGGTTAGAGGTGTTAACATTTCTGATAATTTTTATTTTGATTAATAAAAATTAATGGTAATGTTTAGACTGTTTCATAAAATCATACTGGAAATACCAGGTAATAGTACTTACCTCATAGGAATGTTATGAAGATTGAATTAGTTAATACGTATAAAGCACTTAGAACAGGGCTTCACACATAGTGAAGTGCTTGGTAACTATTAATTAGTCATTGGAAATGATGCTGAGACTGATTTTTACCCATCATTCTGCTGGAGGGCCCCTGATGGTTAGTTGATCAATACATCCATGCATAGGGAGGCTGGCTTTGTTGTCTCAGGGCAGTCTTTCCTCAGGCCCTGAAAGGACCCTCCACAAGGACTTTACCTCAGCTTCCTTCTCAAAGCCTTGAGGCTATGGGGCTGGGATGAGCTTCAGAATGGCAAATATTTTGTCAAGTGGTAAGGGTTTAAAATAGGCTCTGCCTTTTATCCCATTTAGCATTGCCCTATAGACTGAGCTCCCTGAGTGTGATGGAATCGGACATGTTCATAGCTACATCTCCAATTCCTGGCACATATGAGACCCCAGTTCATGTTGTATACATGGATGGGGAAAAAATACTGGAGTATACTTAGAATTTGGTTAGCATTATTTCCACAGCTGCCTTTGTTTTACAGAAGATTTTTTTTTTTTCCTGTAAAGCTGCCGAAACTTAGAAGCTGATTCTGTCACAGTGTAAGATGCCTTTGGAAAATTCTGCATTCCTCTTAGATGACTCTTTAGGACTTGGTGAGTTACACTAGATACCTTCAACCTTCATTTTGAGCTAAGAGGTATGCCATCTTTTTTTCTTTCTTTCTCTCTTTCTTTTCATAATTATTGGGTATAATGAGGTTTGAAATCTGGCAAGGAGCATAGGACAAAGTATTATAAAAATATTTAGAGCATGATTTGTTACTTTCTTTGATAGCTTTTAATTTTCATTCTTAGGAGTGAAAAGTTATTCATTCTACATGTAAAGTATTTTTAGCAGTTCCTGAAATTTTTCAAATTTACTGCTTAAAGGTAAGATTTATAACTTTTTGTTTGTTTTTCTGAGATAAATAAAGGTAATTCACAAATGACTAAAAAGTAGAATAAGAATTATTTCCTGTTGGATTTTAGGTTTAGATATAAAGAATCAGTTGATTAAGGTAAAAAAGGACCAGTTACCTACTGCAGCTTCAGCTTACAAGCAAGTCTTTCCATCAAGGATGTGCACACACGACCAATCCAGCCTGCTGCCTGTTTTCGTGTGGCCCGTGAACTAAGAATAGTGTTTACATTTTTAAATATTGAGAAAAATCTTAAAAGAAGAATACTACTTTGAACATGGAAATTATATGAAAGTCAGATGTCAGCATCTGTGAATAAAGCTTTTATTGGAACAGCTACTATTATTTTATATATATATAGTATATGGCTGTTTTCAAGCTATAGTGGCAGAGTTAAGTAGTTGAATCAGAAACCTTAGGCCCAGGAAGCCAAAAAATATTTACTACATGACCCTTTGCAGAATAAGTAGCTGACTTCTGCTCTATGTGGTTGGAGAAGTATTTTTTTAGATTGGATGCTAAGTTTTAAGAGATGAGTGGGAGGATATTAGAGGGAGGTGAGAATCAGTACCAACTTTCAATGACTTATTTATATTATTTATACCTTTATCCTGGAAAGTGTAATGTATTCTAATTACATTGGCTTGTGTTGGTGTTTTAAAATAGAAAATAAAGAGAAATCTATTCTTCTGTTACTTTTCTTCTAAAATGAAAGAGAGAGAGAGAGAGAGAGAGAGAGAGAGAGAGAGAATATGAATTATTGTAGGACTCTCAGTTTTTTTTACCAGGATTTAATGTTACCATAATATCTTAGGTTTTTAAAAGATTATTTATACCTTTTATACAGTTTCTTTTTTCCTAATATATGGAGATTTCCTGTTATTTTTAAGTGAAAGTACTAATATATTTGGAAACTTGGTGACTCACTCATTGTTGGGGATGGAGGTGCATTGTCCCTTTTGAGTCTATGAATAGTCTTTGAGGATAATCTTAAGGAGCTCTTCTGTAATGACAGAGACTGGTTAAGTTTTATATTAGGAGACAAAAGACTGTGATTTTAGTACTATCTTTCTTGTCCCTCTAGAGCACTTAATAGTTTTGTGACTTTGGAAACATTTACCACTCTGAATCCTAGTTGCTTCATTTTCAAAATAGGGGAAAATAATACAGTGGGGCCTTGACTTACAAGTGTCCCGACTAACGAGTTTTTGGAGATACAAGCCGTCTCTCGGCCGATTTTTTGCTTTGAGTTGCGAGCTAAAATTGGGGTTACGAGCCAGCTTCAGATACCCCACCGCTAGTTGGCGCAGCAAACGTCACAGTGAACGCCACAACGTCAGCCTAGCACCACGTGTCTCACTCGTTCACTTTTTTATTTGACATACGAGTAATTTGAGTTAACGAGCTCCGAGCTCCGTCACGGAACGAATTAAACTCGTAAGTCAAGGCCCCACTGTAATTGTTAAGACTTACTAAATTATAAGTTTTCTAAGGATAGGTATTATGCCTATTTTTTTGACCACTAGATCCCCCTGTAGCTGTCACAGGCTTGGTACAAAGTTGGCACACAGTCAATGTTTGTTGAGTGAAAGAACAAAATCTGTTGTAGTCTAATAACTATATGCGATCACAATGTTTCTAGTTTGTTTTTTAAAGGTTTGCTTATTGGGATTGGGTGATTTTGTTAACTATAAGAGAGAATTTTGTTGAAAACAGTGATTTCCTCTGGATTCATTCTTTATAGATAGTCATCAAATCATTGCCCAGATTTGTCTAAGTTGATTATATATTGTTATTTTTTTTGAAATCTTGAGACCAGATGAACCACTAATCCAAGAAATACCAATCTCAAAGAAAACTAGAAGTCTCCTCATTGTAAAGTTTTAAAATATATACCTACTAAAAGCACTCTTGGATAGGAAGACATATATTCTCATCTAAATCTTCTGAAACTTTTTTCTACTCTTCCACTGAACCTCACCCGAGGATATGTTTATTGATTTTAGAAAGAGAGGAAGGGGAAAGAGAGGGAGAAACATTGATGGGAGTGAGAAACATTAATTGGTTGCCTCCCATACGTGTCCCAACCAGGGATTGAACCCTGTGCCCTAACCACAACCTTTTGGTATATGGGGTGATGCTCCAACCAACTGAGCCACCAACCCAGGGCTGAACCTCTTTTTTTAAATGAAGCTTTCCTATATATTTTGCTCAAGATTACCCAACTTTTAAAATCTTGCCTTGCAGAATATCTTGTGAAGATAAGATAATTTAAAAGGTATTTAGCTGAAGACAACTGTTCTAAATTAAAGGAGTTCAGGGAGATATGACAGCTAAATGTGTAGTATATAACTCTGGACTGGATCCTCTAATGGAGGAGGAAGAAAACCCTAAAGGACTTTATTTGATCAATTAAAAAATTGGAGAGTAGGCATTAATTAAAATATTTTACAATTTAAAAATATTTTACAATTTTTAGGTTTCCTGAAGTAACTATGCTGTGGTTATTTAAGAGAATGTCTTTATTTGTAGGAGGTACACATCGAAGTACTTAGACGTAAAAGGGCATGCTATATATAACTTACTCTCAAGTGGATCAAAAGATATGCTTATATATGATAAAGAAAATGATGAAAATGTTAAAAATTGGTGAATCTGGATAAAGTACATATAGGAGTTCTTTGAACTATTTTTATTACCTTTCTGGAATTTGAAATTATTTCCAAGTAAAAAGTTTAAAGAGATGTCTTTAGCAGTTACCAAAGAAACCCCTGGAAATTATGTCCAAATACTATTGCTTTTAAATTATTTACTTCCATTAAAAATACACTTGTAGGCTGGCCGGTGTGACTCAGTGGTTGAGCATCGACCCAGGAACCAAGAGGTCATGGTTCAGTTCCTTGTCAGGGCATATGCTCAGCTTGCAGACTAGATCCTCAGTAGGGGGTGTGCAGGAGGCAGCAATCGATGATGTTTCCTCTTTCATCAATGTTTCTATCTCTCTCTTTCTTTCTAAAAAAACAAAACAAAAAACAATTAAAAAAAACATATCCAAAAATACACTTATATTCCACCCTGGCCGGGTGCTTCAGTTGATTGGAGCATCGCATTGTACAACTAAAGGTTTGGGGTTCAATTCCCAGTCGGGGCACATACCTAGGTTTCAGGTTCCATCCCCAGTTGGGGTGCATATGGAGGCAATCAATCAATGTTTCTCTCACAGACATGTTTCTCTCTCTAAAATCAATAAAAACAATCCCTTGGTGAGGATTAAAACAACCACAACCCCCCCACCCCCCACAAGCTCACAAAGCTTTTAAAAAAGTACACTTATATTCCTTGTGTTTATTTTTTAAAGTATTTTCACACATACTCTGTTTACATGGTGGTGCTGTTATTGAGCAATGTTTTTTGTTGGGTGTTTTGTGATTAGCCGTTTTGTCATCAACGCAGGTGCTCTGTTTATGTCACTTCACTAGATTTAATAAGTTTATAACATAAATAACTTATTAAACAGATTTAGTTATTTTAGAGTAATGGTGAAGATAAAATGAAATAGAACTTTGCAAATGTAAAAGCTGCTATACAAAGATAATATCTTTATAGTAACAGTATTCTTGCAGATTATCTCATCAGTTATTTTAATCATAAGATCATAGTTAAATGCCAATTGGTTTAATTTAGAACTTCAAAAAATTTTAGGTATAGTCTATTTAATTTTCATCTATTCTGTACTTTTCTTCACTTCAGCTCGTTTCATTAAAAATCTATTAAATCTTCCCTTAATTCATAAATATATTGTTCTTAAAAGTGTATCTGGTTTTATTTATTAAATTTAATTTATTATATTTTGAAGGAAATTCAAGAATAAGGATATATTATAGTGTTTCTCAAAATGGTATTAATAAATGCAGTTACCTTTTAGCACTTGTTTTGTGCTATGTATCATGTTCTAAGCACTTCACATTTAATAGTTTTATTTCCACAACAACCTTATGATGACACCTTGCCTTGACTTACTCTTTTCAATTCCAGCTAAAACTTAGATGCTAAACCTCAGAAGCTCGAGTTTTCTTACCTTTTTTGCCAAATACAAACTATAGGAACTAATGTACGGGACCTTAATACAGAAAAATTCATCAATTGTATTTACTTTAAGAAAAAATACTATCTTAGAATTTTCTGGTTTGTGAATATGGGATAGTTTTAACCTCAGGCTAGACTTTTTATTGCTCTCATAATATCGAAAGGATCCACATCAAGACAATTCTTCAGTAATTATATTGAAAAAGGAAGTAAATGTGACTTTTTGTAACCCAACTAAAAGGCAGACTGAAGTAGAACCTATTTCTATTAGAAACTTCATTTTACCAACAAGCAAAATAACCAAAAAATTAAAAATGAAGGGACTGATAATAATGCCAACTTTAAACAACTTTGAATGAAAACATGCATATTATGAAGTGCATAAATTCTGAGTATCATTTTGATGAAATTTTATGAAGTCATTCTTAAACCAATACCAAGATCAAGATAGAGAACATTTTTATCAATCCAGGGGCCTTCTTCATGCCTCCTGACATCACGCTCTCCGACAGGTAACTTATTCTGAGTTCATTAGTATTATCTATTCATTAGTATTGTCTATTTTTGCACTTAGTGTCTGTCTTTATTTGATAATCTTGTTTATGCAGTCATCTATGTTGATTCATATAGCAACAATTTTTCTTTTTTCATTGCTTTGTAATAGCATCATTTGTATGTATACACCACAGTTTATTTCTTCATTCTACTGTTGGACATTTAGATAATTTTCAGTTTTGGGCTATTATGAACAATGGTGCTGTAAATATTCTTGTGTGTCTTTTGGTGTACATATATGTGCATTTCTGTTGGCTAAATATCCAAGAGTGAAATTGCTGGGTTAGGGTATTTCCCTACTTAGCTTTAGTAGATCCTCCCAGTTTTCCAAAGGGGTTGAGTCAATTTACATTGCCACCAGCAGTATACAAGAGTTCTTATTGATCTATATCCTCCCCAATACTTGAAATTACTAGTGTTTTTAATATTAGCTCTTCTATATATGTAGTAAAAATTTTGTAGTTTTAATTCATAACTCCCTGATACCTTCAAAGGCTTAGTAGATGTTTATATACTTGTTGACCATTTGGATATCTGCTTGAGAAATGCCTGTTAATGTCATTTGCCCGTTTTTCTATTGTGTCTGTCTCTTTAGGAGTTCTTTATCTGTTTATAGGATAAGGTTTTTTTTGTTGGATTAAGTATTAAAATTCTTCTATTTCTTCACTCTTAATAGAATAGCATGTCTTGATTAATATAATTTCTTATTTTAAAAAAGTCCATTTTAACAAAGTATTCTTTTATGGTTAGTGTTTTTTGTGTGTTTTATGAAATCTTTACCTATCCCCAAACCAAGAAAATATTTGTATGTTTTCTTCTATAAACTTAATTGTTTTAACTTTTATATTTAGGTTTATGCATGGTATGTGGTAGGATTCATGGTTCATTTTATTTTCCATATGGAAATCCATTTGGTCAAGCATTATTTATCGAAAAGGCTATCCTTTCCCTAATGTAATACAGTAGTCCCTTTATTGTAAATCAGGTGACTCCAATAATTTGTGGGTCACTTTTTGGACTTTTCTCTATTCCATTGGTCTGTTTGTTCTTGTGCTAGTACAATACTCTTTTAATTAGTGTAGCTTTAAATTTTTCTGATTTGTTCTTCATAATTGCGTTAGTTCTTTTTGGTACTTTAAATTTCAGTAAAAATTTTATACTCAGCCTATCAATTTCCCAATAAACAACCAAACCCTGCTTAATATTAAACTTGCTTAATATTATTATTTGTTATTTATTATTATTATTAACTAGCTTAATATTGAATCTGTAGATCAATTTGGGTGTATTGACATCTTTCAGTATTGAGACTTTTAATACATTAATCGTGGTATATAACTTGATATATTTAGGCCTTTAACGTTTTCTCTCAGAAATGTTTTGTTATTTTGTGTGTAGACTTCTTATACATCTTTTGTTAATTTTTAAAGGTATGATAGTGATAACTGGTTATGTTTTTTAGAAGTCCTTATAATTTGTAGATCATACTGGAGTTTATACAGATGAAAGGATATAGTTTTTGGGATTTGCTTTTAATAATGCAAGGGGAGATAGTAAGGAATGGGGAAGGGGCAGAATAAATGAAATAGTATTGACCATGGTTTGATAATGGTTGAAAATGGGTGATGGGTATATAGATTAATAATTTTATTACTCTTTATTTTTTTATATGTTTGAAATTTTCAGTAAAAACAGGTATGGTTGGTTTTCTTTTTGTTTGTTTTTCTTTTTGTTAATCCTCACCCGAGGATATTTTTGCATTGATTTTTAGAGAGAATGGAAGAGAGGGGGAGAGACAGAGAAAAACATCAATGTGAGAGAGACATATTGGTTGGTTGCCTCCCACATGGTGTCCCGACCAGGGCTGGGAATCGAGCCTGCAACTGAGGTGTGTGCCCTTGACTAGAATTGAACCTGGGACCCTTCAGTCCAAGGATAGGCCAATGCTCTATCCTCTGAGCTAAACCGGCTAGGGCAAAAATAGGTTTTTAAAAATGTAATGACTGCAGTAGATTGAAAAATACATTTATATAATAATCCAAAGATCATAATAATACTTTTTTAAAAAACCTTCGTAGGTAACCATTCATTACTCTGAAAACTATTGGTAAATGAAAGAATCAACCATTTATTCTTTTTCTGCACAAATTATATTTCAAGGTAACTAAATAGTTAGGAAGAAAGGTTTACCATTATAGAAGAATCACAGCTAGTAAGAAATGCTGGGAGAATGATTGGATTAGAAACTCACCACAGTGCACCCTGTAGTAAAATTATGAATCTAGATAATGATCAGTCAAAGACTACTAAAGCCTTTAGGTAAAAGTCTTTTGGGAAATGGACATAATTCAATGAATAGCCAAAATGGAGTAAGCCTTTCTCTGTGACTGATTGGAACTAAAAACTGTCAGGAGTTAACGAGAGAAGTGGGGTTGGGGGTAGGTAGTAAAGGGGGTCAAATACATGGTAACAGAAGGAAATTTGACTTTGGGTGGCAAATACACAATGCAATAACAGATGATTTATTATAGAATTGTACACTGAAATCTATATAATTTTATTAACCAGTGTCAACGCAATAAACTGTCAATAGAATACAAAAGCCATCTAAAGACTCTGAAAGTTAATAGTGGGCAAATTGAGAAAGGAAGTCATAACTTGAAGAATAGTCTGTATAATGGTGAGTGTACTTTTTTTTATCTATGTCCCAGCTTTCACCAAATGGGCTAAATTGTAGAACTACACAAATTAGTATAGCAATTATCAAAAACTCCAAGAAAAAACCCTATTTCTAGACAGAGGACAAGGAAAGGGATCTTTTCTTTTGCTCTCTCAAGTCTACTCTGAGACCATCTCCACCTGTAAGCAATGTTGCATTGCCATGGTGGCACAACTATTTAAAACTCTGAGAGAAAATAATTTCTTTGGCCAGAGGAATTGGGAAAGAGGCCCCTGGAAACAAGAGCATGCTGGGGGAACCTCAGAGAAAAGAGAGCTGATATGAGAGGATATTCCCTCATGGTGAGTATGAATCCACAGAAGTTCCACCTCACACATGAACTACACATGCACAGAACCGACCTAAAGCAAAGACTAAGAGAATTGAACTATAATAGTAACATAAACTACTGTTCAAATCTCAGATTTGCCTCTGAGTGATGCTCACAAAGGATAAGCCCAAATAACATACTAAAGACTTTGAAAATTGAACTGACATTGGAACTACCACCCACAGAAGGCAATATAGTACTTCCAGTCTAAACTTAAAAAAAAAACACATCAAATTCTTCAGAAGATGTTAATAGAATTTAGAATTTTATAACCTGATTTTCAGAATGTCTAGGATATAATCTCAAATTACTTGACATAAAACAAAAAGGGAAATCTGACCATTTTTTATGGGAAAAGACAATGAACAGATGCCAACCCTGAGATGATCCTGATGATGGAATTATCAGAAAAATACTTTTATTTTAAAAAATGTTTTTATTGATTTTTAGAGAGGAAGGGAGAGGGAGAGAGAGAAACATCAATGCTGCGAGAGAATCATTGATTAACTGCCTCCTGCATGCCTCACACTGGGATCAAGCGCCCACCCCAGGTATGTGCTCTGACCAGGAATCGAACCATGACCTCCTGGTTCTTAGGTTGACATTTAACCACTGAGCCATGCTGGCCAGGCATCAGAAAAATACGTTAAAGCAACTATTATATCCATGTTCAATGAGATAAAAGTAAACACTTTTGACATGAATGTAAAGATCTCTGAAAACTAGAAAAAAGAATCAAATGGAAATTTCAGAACTGAAAAATACAATTGTATATGAGATACATATTTACTGCATGGGCTCGGTAGCAGGCTTGAAGATAAATCAGTAGAAATCTCAAATCCTGTGTCTTCTGTATCAAGGTTATACCTCTGTTTTGTAATACTTGATAAAAGTCTAGGCTGTACCCTGTGAAACCTAGCCATAGGCCTTCTGGCTGTGAATTTTTGTGCCATTTACACATCCTCTTTTATCCATAATTACTACTGCATACTTGCATGCTGCAAAGAAGAGGGGTCTATGCCATTTGAGCCCATTTCTCTTGTTACTCCACCGATCCAGATAGGGTCTTGGCCTGTCATTTTTCTAGACTTTCTCATTTCAGGTAAAGATCAAGGACATCAGTCAGTGGGTTAAAAATAATAGTCAATTAAGGGATAAACATACCCACAAATATTTGAAAGCTTTGAAAATAGGGATAGAGAGATAAGTAGAAGTGGATAGCATAGATATATATCATATATTGCAGAATTTTAAAGGAAATAAAATTTATCTTAAATATAAATGTAGATAAACTGATAACTTTGGTGAAGAGGAAATGCTATACGGTTGTTTTCTGAATAATCTGTGGTTCAAGATGCATCTGAACTTAATTGAACTAGTTTTCAGTTGGTCGGGAACTTGTTTGGCCTATTTGGCTGCACAAAAGCAACCTGGCAGTTTACCCAAGTTAAATAGGTCAGACCAGCTGTCATTTTATGAAGGGATTATACTGCAAAAGTTAGAGGAATACTTAAAAATTGATATGTTTTAGTGGTACTTTATATGGATCTGGTGGTCTGATTGACAAAGTTATATAAAATGTCAAAAATTATCATTATATTAATACATATTAGTTATAAATTACTAGATATCTAATGAGCTATCCTAAGCCTAGTATTTTCATAATACTACTTAATTATCAAATTTCTTAACAGGTCCCTGGAGATTTATAGTACTAATGAAATTCTGAGAATATGAATATTTCATATTCATTCTACCTCCCCCTTCTTTTTTCTGGAGATCCATCTCAGAAATTTACAAACACTTGACTTTTTAAAATAGACTATGATTTAATTAATCTTGTTTGGATATCTGTTTGACACTTATAAGTTATGCCATTTTTGTATATTCTCTAGCACATTAAGTAG